GATGCGATTGGCGTCAGGTAGTTTAAGCTGGGTGATGAGAGTGAACTCTGGCACGATTGGCGTTGGGTAGTGCTAGTTCACCACCTCGACGACGGAGACTGGGATTCTTGTGGGGGCAAAGAGTGTCAGGGTGGTGATGGTGCTCGGCCCCCGCGGAGAAGAGGCTCTCTGAAGTTCTTCACGATGACGGAGGTGGGAAGGACGGAGGTGATTGGGAAGGAGGAAGTTGGTAGTGGATGCGATTGGCGCTGAAATTTCGGCGGGTACCGGCCACTGCCCGCTAACTTCACCCGGATCAGTCTGCGTTTCTACCCTTCGATGATGGAGGCAGGATTGTTCTGTGGGGTTATATTTCCAAAGAAAGGTTGAGTGGGATGAATAGATGGTTGGATATCAAGCGTCCTACTAGTGAGGGGGCTAGCTCGTAGGATGGAAATAGGGTACAGCAGCAGTGGAGATGGTGGCTCTGCTGCAGTAAGTCTTGCCGGAGTAAGGTAAAGAGGATATGATGGGGGGGTCTCTGAGTTGTTTTCCGAATTTGGAAGCTTCTGTAGTGATTTTCTCAGTACATCAAATTCTTCTTAGCCCCGGGATCCTAAACTTTCAAAATTCTTTCAAAATTCTATGTCAACTTTCATATGGGACGCTGGGCCCGGTTCCCAGCACGTGCTGCTCCCCACGAATAGATTGGAGCTTCGTTCCCAAAAAAAAAAAAAAAAAAAAAAAAAACGGACGAAAAATGAAGAGCTTGACACTGCATATGGGTGGGGGGGGACCGTTCAGCTGAGAGTAGTAGGGGACCCAGACAAAGGCTACTACACATATGAGACCACCACACCCATAGCCAAACTCCCCTTTGATCCGGGCCGTGTGGGAATGGACTGGCTCTAAGCCTATGCACATAGGGGATTAGACAGTCAGATGGGCATACAGAACGTCAGGACAGGACAAGCCAATCAACCACATAATAGTTAATAGATGGGCAAAGGACTCACTGCAGGAACCAAAGCTATCAGAAACCTTCATCTGGTCTAGATACGCGAAGATAACGCCTACGAATCGTAGGTCCTTACAATGGCAGATCCTGCAAAAAACGAGTGCCCATAGAACCCCCTAGTTTTGGCTTTTGCCACAGCGAAAAAAGGAGTGTCCGTGGACCTCCCGAGTTTATGTCTGCGGATCTTACCTCGGATGCATATCTCTTGCCAGCGCTCTTCTGTGCAGGCTGGTTGTTGATCTTCCAGAGTCTGAATATAATGGTAAAGATCATCCCGCTGTGCCTCTGATTGGGACTGATTCTCCTGTTATTGTTGTTGGTATAGACAATATCGTAGGTTCATTTCATGAAAATGTCACTGGGCAACCAACAATTTGGAAAATTCATTGCATTTGTGGGTCATAAAGGTCAACCCGCTATTAAATCACCACTCTACCCAACACCGACAAACGGCACTCGGGTGAGCTAGGATAGGAGCAGGTTTTTAGGGGGGGGCGTCGACCAGCTGGCACAGACGGGTCCAGTCCTGCAATGTTCAAGCGCCAACTTTGGCAATTTTCCGTGCTGTGAAGAGTATCTCGATAGGAAAGCCAATGTGACCATACCTCTTTATCATAAGTCTGAAAAGATTCCATGGAAAGTAAGGAAGTATTGAGTTTGTAGAAGCCTTGACTTTTTTTTTTTTTAACCACCACTACCTTTCTGAGTGTTGGGAAAAATGGGAAAACATCGTACTCCCAAAAATTTTGGAGGTCCCACAGTAGCTCGGGAGGAAAAAAGAAAAAAGAAAAGGGGGAAACTGCTCCTGGGTCACACTTTTAGTTCAAAACGGCAAAAAAAACACTAAATGGCAATGTCCTCGTCGTCGAAGTTCAAAACGGCAAAAAAAA